TTTTTTTTTTTTGAAACTAACTCAAAAATATGCAAAGTTAATCAAATTTCCAAATTGCTAGTTCTGGCCAGTTGAGCCTGATTCATCGTCAAGCAGAGATATTTGCTGTTTAAAAGACCAGGGCATTAAGCTGAACTTAAAGCATGGTTTTAAGTTTTTATTAAACCTTATTACGAGAAAGAAGTAAATCCAGCCAAGGTTTCTGCTAATCTCTCAAACCGCCGATAATTTATAGACACCAAACCTCATTATTTGAGAAGAATGAGGCTCCTTTAAACAATACATTTCATTGATCACGTACCTCTACTATCAAAGTCGTTTATTAGTTCATTCCCAGGTCTTTTCCTGTTACCATTGTTCTATTTGCTTACAAATCCTATGAGCCCTTAAAGATCATCTTTTCGAATAACACCAAAGCAACTCAACAGTCTTCCATCCTGCATTTTCCTTCCTATATTTCATTACTTTATTTGCCAAACAAGTTTGAAAAACACCACTTTTCCATTACCAATTTTAAGAAATACTGGTCGCTACCACTAACTTCTACCAAAAATTAACTATTTAATATGGCGCAATCTCTTTCTTTTTTTTTTCAGTGTTATGTACTATATAACAAATTCCACGATAAGCCACTGCAGCGCCAGTTAACAAATGTTTTACAGACAATGCTTAAGAAAATACATTTACTTCAATACCATCAACACTGCAATATTGAAAACCAATTTTATTTCATCATCCAAAAAAAAGAAGACAAACGTTCAAGGTATTTATGTGTCCAACTACATTGATCAAAGAATCACTCTTAACATTCCTTGCATTCCTAAGAAAAGAAAAATTTAAGTCTTCACGTCAACTGAACGGTGCTTTACAGTAAGGCTACTAACAGTTTAGGCACCGCTGGTACTAAAAGTGCACATAAATTATATCACATTCCCGCATCTTACCAGGATAACACTACATACCGTTTCGATACATAAAACTCAAAATCTTTTTTTTCCAGTGGTTTGTCTAAAATATCTAACTTCTAAAAGTTTCTTGTAAACCGAAAGATTTTTTGGAATTTTTGCATGCCTACGCATTAACGGAAGCAAGAACGATAATTCCATAAACTTAGTGCAAGTGAGGACCAAACCAAATGTGATTTTTGCTGGTCTGGCGCAACGCTGTTCGTTCATAGACAACAGAATCCAATATCTAAGAGAAATACTAGTACAGGAAACAGAAGGGAAGTTTTAGTACTTACAGTCTGTCTACAGCAAAGTAACGCGCACGCAGAAGTTCAACTAGCTTTGCGCATCAACTGTAGTCCGTCCGATATCTGCTTTTTTATCAAGATTTTTTATGAAGACCAGTGTAGCTGTAAAGTCTAATCAATTTTACAAATTCCCTCTTTGGGTAAAGTTTCTCAGCCAATAAAAGTGCTCAGCTTTTAGCCTTTCTTAGTCTTTTGCTGTATTTTTTTGACCATTCTCGGTAAACTGCTCTCCTTGTACGCTCCTTCGCTAGTAGAATTAAATTTGACTTTCGTTTCAATTCGACAAGTTGGCTGTAAACAGTGATTTCATTCCCCATGGCGAATGTCCTTAAATGCTCAGAACGGCATTCAGTTCAAAGGATATTATGCAGCATTAACTCTATCCTTATCATGCTGTCACCGCAGAAGGAAACAGTAGCTACGTTGAAGAGGGCAAAACAAATCTTCTGTAATAAATATCAGTTCTTTTCGTGGCTTTACACCACGGCTTTGTTTCCAAAAATTTTTTGACCAGCAATCACTTTCTGGGGCAGAAAATTTATCGTTGCCTCCCACAATCGCTTTTCAGCAATCGCCATCGTCATCACATCACCTTAAAGCACTGCATCATCCCCATTACCTCAACAGAACAATGCCACTCACCAAAAAATTTATTATTATATGAAACCTTTTTTACGTACACAAAGTTGTTCTCTGATATTAGCCAGAATTTTTTTCACTGAATGATCACCCTTCAAAATGCCTGACCCGAAAAATACCATTTAGATAATACCCGCTTCACTGGTGATAAAGTTAAAAATTCATACGCTTTCACCACTCGCCGTACAATTAATTAACACTGCAATTCCAAAACAAATTTAGACCAAAGCCCGCCCACATCCTAACGGAGCTCCCACTCACCTGATCTTTGCAAAGATAATTCTCTATTACCGCCACTTAGCGTTACGTTGGTTCTTCCATGTTTAAAGAATTTCGCGAGCTAGTATCTAGATATCAAGTCCCAGGAAGCGCAATAATTTTAGCTTCAGGCTGATTGAATGAAACTTCCAAGTTAGACCATAAAAGATCCAAAGCAAACGAACAAGAATCCTGCAATTACAATCTTTATCAATTTGGACACCGTTCTCAAAAAAAGGGAATTCGGTGAACTTTCTGAGACCGCGCAGCAGCATCAAGCAAATCTTCTACAAGCGACAAGGAAACCAGTAACCAATCTCCTAAAATTGCTTCAGAAAATGTTTATCAACGCAGAACAATGTGTGCCACAGCAACTTAAAAAATATATTCTTATATGAACATATTTCAGTGAATAATTTAGGGTACAGTTGGTAAACCTCTGTAACTTATTATCTTTTTTGAAGGCCCATTATCGGATAACAAACACACCAATTAAAACAACGAAAACAAAAAATTTCTGGAAGGTTCCAAAAATCATAATTCGATTAATCTTTCCTGAAGTGACAACTGCGTTTTCGTTAAGTTGGAGAGATAAGAAATCATCATATAATCCTAAAACAAAGCAGAGTTGTAAGCTAGAACTACTAGTAGAATAAAAAAAATTAAAGTGCAATGGAAGGTTCCATATTTTTCTGGCATATTAAAACAAACCTTACTTGTCCCTTCAAAAAAGTTCGAAACCTCACCGATGAGGTATAAAAGCCCTACACCGTTTCTTGTAATCATGTCTTTCAGTAACTTAGTTCCTCAAAATTGTTTAGAGAACTTAAACATCCCTACCAAAGTTGAAATCTGTTAAAAACAATTCTTAACTGTTCCAAATTCATTCTTTATAAAATTAGCAAGAGAAAAACCTCAAATTTTTGGAAAAATTATTCCATTACGCGAAATCCCTTTGCATTTATTTCAAAAACTTATAGGCAAGCAACCCACCCTCAGACTGTTTTTTACCAAGCTGTCTAGTTTTTCTTCTGACATGTGCGATGCCGCTGTAGTCACAATGTCCATCATCCGCCGTCCCATAGACGAATCTGCAGGTAACTCTGGCTGTGCCAAAACCTAAACTGAAGAAATGAATTCAGATATTATAAATAAAAAGATCAAAATACTTCGCAAAAATCAAGTCAGCTAATACAATCTTAATTTAAGTTAACAATGGAAACCTTACATTGTTTACGTACGCCAACAACTTTTCTAGCCAAACAACCATTTTCCCGGTACTTCTTTCAAGCTGTTCTAAACCCGTTTCTAAAGATGTTTCTCGCTGCTTGCTTGAGGTGCCACTCTGTATCAAGCTCAGGGCTACATTTTCGCCAGGGAATGCATCCATCTCAACTTTTAAGGGGTTAAAAATGGCACAGTGTGGATCACGACTTCCAGGGATCCCAGCTTTTGTCCTAGAAAAGAAGTATTCTGGGATACTAAACAAGCCATTTCTTTTCCTTAAATCTCAATCCTCTTCTATAACTAAAAACTGTGAGTTTTTAAAGCATGTTACCATTCAGCGCACTCACGTTAATGACGCTTTCTAAAATCCTAGCCATATATTTACTTTACCAATGAAAGGAACCAGACTTATCAAAAGAGAAAAATAAAGTTTAAACCTAATTCCAACTGAAATAGATGCCGTTCAAATAGCTACTAATTTCTGACCGTTCAAATCAAAAACGTGCACAGGATAAACCCCTTTATAAATATTACACGACCTCAAACAGCACTCTCACCCTAGCAAAGCTATTCGTCTTACTTTTCAACATTCCGAAAACGAAAAGCAAAATTGTGCTTAAATACAGAAAAGATCAGAATGATTCTTGCCCCTTCTAGCAGAACAGATAGTTTCAAAAAAAAAGAAAGTTCATACTGTACGAAATACTCTCTATACAACCTATACAACTTTCAAACAATTTCTTAATACATACTTAGTAAAACAAGCGAAATATAATCTAGAATTTATGGCTTTAAATGCTAACACTTTAATTAAAAAACAAGACCTTTCTCACTAATGAAGTAACAATCGACACGAGGAAATCTGATAAAACCTCAAATAAAGAGTGGTTCTATTCAGGA